CTTCTTTTTTTTTTTTTTTTTTTTTTTTCTATAGAAATATAAACATGACAATTTGGAAGTTTGATTTGTAAAGTGAATTAAGGAAACATTGTTCCACAAGTCAATGAGTTTTCTTCTTCATTGCTTCATCTTCTACAGCACACAACAGTTGAGCTCCTTCTCAACGGCAAGGGCAAGGTGCAGAAAACTTTTGAGCAACGGGTTGAAGCGCAGACGGATATGGGAGTGGTTGGAAGAGATTTTGATGCCATCAATTCAGAAGTGAGAAACCCAAGCTCGGAATTGGGTTTAGTTCTGAAGTGAAGTTTCGTTGACGATGCTGCCATGACGCCGGAAGTATTCGCCGGCGATAGTCCTAACATGGTTTGGAGTTTGGACTACGAGCTGGAAGCCTCGAGTTTTGCTCGAGGAGGTGAAGGGGATAAGCTCTTTTATTGTTCGGCTGGACTACGATGTTTGGGCCATGGTCAAGTGAAAACCCATAGAACTAAAGCTTTTTAATGCTGGCTGGACTACATGGTTTGGACCATGGTCAAGTTAAAGCCCATAAAACTCAAGCGGCTCAAGGCCACGGAACGAGAGTCCACGAAATAGGTCCATGAACTGAAGCCCATAAGGCGAGAGTCCACGAAACAAGGGTCCATGGACTTAAGCCCATGAGGCGAGACTACACGAACCAAGGGTCCATGGATCCAAGCTCATGAACGAGAGTCCACGAAACAAGGGTCCAAGGATCCAATCCCATGAACGAGAGTCCACAAAACAAGGTTCCATGGACTCAAGCCCATGAGAAGACTACGTTGTTTGGGCCTCGGTCAAGTCAAAGCTCATAAAACTCAAGCTTATTAATATTGGGCTGGACTACGATATTTGGGCCTTGATTAAGTCAAAGCCCATAGAACTCAAGCTTATTAACGCTGGGCTGGACTACAATATTTGGGCCTCGTTCAAGTCAAAGTCCTAAAACTCAGGCCTTTTAATGCTGGGCTTTACTTCGATGTTTGGGCCTCGGTCGAGTCAAAGCCCATACAACTCCAGCTTTTAATGCTGGGCTGGACTACGATGTTTGGGCCTAAGCAAGTCAAAGCCCATAAAATTCAAGTTTTTCAATTCTGAGCTGGACTACGATGTTTGGGCCTCGTTCAATTCAAAGCCCATAAAACTCAAGCCTTTTAATGTTGGGCTGGACTACGTTATTTGGGCCTCGGTCAAGTCAAAGGCTATAAAACTCAAGCTTTTTAAAGCTGGGCTGGACTACGATATTTGGGCCTCGGTCAAGTTAAAGCCCATAAAAATTATGCTTTTAATACTGGGCTGGACTATGTTGTTTGGGCCTCAGTCTAGTCAAAGCCCATAAAACTTTTTTATGCTGGGTTGCAGTAAGATATTTGGACGCGTTCAAATCAAAGCCCATAAATCTCAATCTTTTTAATGCTGGGCTGACTGAGGTTTGGGCCATTGTCAAGTTAATCCTTTTAATTGGTAGGCTGGATTACGATATTTGGGCCACAAACAAGTTATAGCCCATTTTATGGGAAGGATGGTGAATATCTATTTGAGATTATTATGAAAATAAAATTATTAAAAAGAAAAAAGAGAGGATGTTCACGAACATTTTACAAATAGCCCCAGTAACTCAGTGGAGTTGGCCCCCTCCTCACCTCGTGATTGGGGCGAGCATTGCGATAGAACATGATAATCAATATTACTAACAAAATCAAGATGAGTAGGAAAACTATAAAGAACCATATCGAGTTTGTCCATGATGTTCACCAAAGGCAACAAGTTAACAACAAAAATTACCACCTCCTAAAAACGCCATGATTCTGATCTATTACATACCAGAATGGAGATTACAGACAAAACATCATCTTCATTTTATTCATTCTTTCTAATCACTATAAATTTTCCAATTTTGTCTTCCCCCTTCTTTCTACTCATCATATGCACATATTCTCACTTCTCAAATGCCTCACCTCATGTTTTCTCTGCGCCTAACATACCGGGTCCGATCATTATACCTCGGTCTATCTTGAGCTCTTTGAGGCTGTGGCTCCACCCTTTTCTGTCTCTCTGGTGACCTTTGAACAATTTCACCATTCACGAACAACTCAGCTGCAACCGCCACAAAAAAAACCCTTTTTATTTCACACTGAGAAGTATATTGCAAAGACCGACTACAAAACATAGTAAGCAAGTCTTCATGTTTCATCTCTACTGATCTGTATCTCCACAAGGTATAAAGAGAACAGAACAGTTTCGAGAGACATTTGTTGTAAGTTCATTAGCATTCAAAACTAAACATTGTCTGAAAGACTAATTTAGGTTTGCCAAGATGAACTATACACGCATTCAATCTGTAAACTGATGTAAGAGCACTCTCTTTTAATTTCAATCATCAACTACTATATGGGATTAAAGAAAGCTGATTGGCATAACTTATCAGGACTCAAAATCAGGCATTGCAAAGATGGACTTTGAAAAGTTATAAAATGCATTAATGTTTCATCTCTACTGATCTGCATCTCCACAAGGTAAAAAGAGCACAGAACAGTTTCGAGAGACATTTGTTGTAAGTCCATTAGCATTCAAAACTAAACATTGTCTGAAAGACTAATTTAGGTTTGCCAAGATGGACTATACACTTAAATGAAATTTAACAAATAAGAAAAGCTAATGTTTCATCTCTACTGATCCGAAACTCCACTATACATACAAAGCTCAGAACAGTAAAGAGTGACATTTGTTATGAGTCCATTAGCATTCAAAACTAAACATTGCTAAAAGGCTGATTTAGCTTTGCCAAGATGGACTCTATCATAGCTTATCTTATTTAAGTCCAAAATCATGTTTCTCGCATTTCTTAAACTATCATGAGCATATTTATAAAATGTGAACCTAATATCAAGGATGGTTAGCCAGAATGCAAATCTACGAATGATATAAACATAAATCATGTTTCATCTCTAAAGCAAACAACTTCTTGAAAGCGACTTTGCCAAGATGAACCTCCCTATCAATGTCATTGTCTGTCAAGAATTATTTGATTGGGTCTTTAATGAACAGCGAAAAATAAAACATTTAAAGCATCATATGCTTACCCCCATAGTCTTTATACTCAGGGTCGACGTAAGAATCAGGAAGAACAAAGAGAACACCGGGCAAGCCTGTTCGCAAAGATTCAAACAAAAATCATTAGATACAAGCTTCACAATATAAATATGATAAGTACAAATGCCACATAAATTACTAGAGTGCGAGAAAGGAAACGACGGCCTGTATGTTAGGGCACATGAAGAAGAAATTTAAAGATCATAACACATACCCTCAAGCTTATTGGAGGTCTCTTCATCAATCTCACACCCAAATCCAAAATACCTCTCGCAGGAAACATTATAAATCTTCTTTTTCGCTTCCTCTTCACTGTTCAGATCACAGAACACAGCCGAAATCAGCGAAAACACGAAACCAAATTTAGAAGAAAAAAACATTATATCCTTCCAAGTACCTGCCAAGAACTTTAGCGAGGGTCTGAACGTAGCATTCAATCATCTGTTGCTTAGAGGCACCCTCACCACCAGGCTTGTCCATCACGATGAGCCAATGCTCATAGTCACAGCCAGGGAAAAGTGGCGCCATCTCAGTGGGTGGACGATCACTGAAGTTGGAGTTGGAGTTAAGAGGCGCGTAACCGGAGTTACCAGACCGATTAACACGGCAACGAATCGAGGTAAGCCAGGGGGCGCACGGTGTGGATCGAACGGCATGGGAAAGCAGAGGAAGAGATCGACGAGCGAGAGTGAGAGACGGAGGAGAAGGAAGACGTGTAAGAGATTTGGAGGCGGAGAAGAGGCGTTTATGAGCAAGAGGGAGGCGAGCGGAGGAGGCGGAGGCGGAAGCCATAACACGAAGAAGGGATAACGCCATAGAAGGCGACCGTGAAAGGGTTTACAGCGATGGAAAAATGCAAGGAGGAGGATTCGAGGGTTTTAATAGCAGAAGGCAATGTTGTAAGGTCTTTGCTTAATGGGCCTGCCCTCTTGTTTCCTTAAGGCCCATTAATGGCCGGATTTAGACGCTGGTATAGGCCCATAACACGAAAAAGTAGGCCTTCTTCACAAAAAAATGGGCCAAGCTTTTGCTTCTTCAAAGCCCAATAGTCTCCAGTACTAGATAAAAATAAAATAATCTTTGCGGTGAGCGTGGATCGAACACGCGACCTTCAGATCTTCAGTCTGACGCTCTCCCAACTGAGCTATCCCCGCGTTGTTGTTAAGTTGGCCAAAATTTATATTTTATTTATAAATAAAACTTAAAAAGATAATTAATTTTAAATTACAATATCACAATTTTAAATTGCAATAATCGTCTCAACTTTATTGTTATATATATATATATATATATAAAGCTAATCTAAAACTAGTTTATTGTTATATGCACGTATATTTATCTTAATTATTTAGTTTCATAATTGTTTGTTAATATTTAATTCCTTAATTATTTTTAATTATTTATTCTTCAACAATCGTTCTGCCTCGAACCACTTTAACTCAGCCTAAATAATGTATCAACCTGATCAAACTTAACTCATGAACACCTTCTACCGATGATCTATAATATCAAATACCAACCAAATACATGTTCATGATTATGGTCCCATGAATTTTTACCATCAATTTTAACCAATGATTCTCTCGTTCAACTAACTCAGTCTTAGGATTATAACAACGGTTCATAACTCAATCAAAAAAATGTTAATCTATGAACCTACTCGAATTTTTCATTTTTAAAAAAAAATTAACTCAACCCAAATAAAAAAAAAAAATCAAACCGAAATCAACTTTGATGATTTGGGTTGAATAGCTCAAATTAGTCGATCTCTATTAATAATAAGTTCTCTCCCTTTTAAATTAATTTTTTATTGCTATGCACGAATAAATAATAGTATAAATTAAGTATTTTCAATGCGTATCACGTTATGGCTTTTTCAACGCTTACCTTTTTCTTTTTTGAAGCACCAAAATGAAACATATACATCGTATCTTCACAAAAACAAAACAAACATTTTATTCCCATCGTCCCAATATGAGTTTTTTTGTTTGTTTTAAAATTAATTTTTAAAGAAAAAACAATTTTTTTTAAAGTTTAAATTTCATTTTTACTTAAAAAAAATATATTTTCACCTTTAATATTTTAATTTTTTTTTAATCTCAGTTTTATAATGATTATTATAAAAACATCAAAATTATTAATAATAATTATTATTATTCATCAATGTTTCCGAAGTAAACACTCAACATGAAAATAAAAAATATATAATTATAATAAAAATTAATCAAAGTACAATAATTATCCATATTTTCCCCTTTAAAGCTACCTCGAAAATATATTTTATTTTTTTAAATTTTGAAAATTATTATAAATAACACCCAACTTGGAGCCTTTTTTTCCTCCTTTTATCATGGTCTTGCTTCCAGCTGACTTATAAGTCAACTCTCAGCTACAAAACGACCAAAACAAAAAACAAAAAACGAAAAATGGATGCCTTTTTCTCATGAAAGTAAACTCTGTGTATGACTTTTGCTTTAATTTAGGCTTCAAAATTTAAAATAAATAAATAAATCAGCAGAATATTGCCAACTGGTCTTAATCGTTGACCAGTTTTACCATGCTGTAATTATCTTTAATAGTCACCTTTTCTTTCCTCAATGTGACATGTCGTTTTTACTTATAAACTATACACTAAAATTTTCATTAAAAAAATGCGTAATTCTAATTTCGATGTCTTCTGAACAAAAAATAATTTTGTACCCACTTGTCGTTTTTAAATCATCTCACATGGTAAGTAAGAACTGTTAGTACAGCAAAAATTATGATCGTTATATATTTGTATAATTACCCACTTGTCTGTTTTAAATTATCTCACACGTTAAGTTAAAATAGTTAATTAATACCGTTAAAAATTTTAAATTATCAATTTAGAGAAGTTGGGGCCATATATATATATATATATATATATATAATTTTTTTTTTTGAGATGAATTAACGTTAATTTTGTAATTTTTAATTTGGATTTTGGAAATATTCTTATAATTATTGTTCACGTTTAATATCTATAATAAAGCCATCTCATATTATTCGATAATGAATATTTAATTAGAGTTTTTCGATCCCTTCCAAACTTATTAAAGTCACCACAGAATGTAAATAATTAATTTAATTTGTACTTGTTAAGGAATCGATTTATAAAATTATTTAATAACTATATGTAATAAATGTATTTTTTAGTAATAATGTGAAAAAAAAAATGAAAATAAAGTAATTTTATTGATTATCTTGATACTCAAATTTCTTATATTTATATTTTTTATTTGATGATAAATGTTAGATGAACACGACTTTTCACAAATGGTATGATATTGTCCACTTTTAGCATAAACTCTCGTGGCTTTGAATACTATTTTGGTATGAGGGCGTACTAATGGAGATAGCATTATTTGATTATAAACTCATGATCATTGCTTAAATTAACCGATGTGGGACTTTCATCCAACATCTCCCCTCGAACAAAGTATGCCTCTTCTTAATCGTGGCTCGACTTCTTTTTGTTTTTAGAATCTTAGTCATTTTTTACTATGCCTTCGAGGAGCCTTGACTCCTTTCTTTTGGAGCCATTTGTTCGATATTTGAGAATTCTATTGGCATGGCTAAGTTTTTAGGGCATGGTCTCTGATACCATGTTATATAGCTAAGTTTTTACCATGATCATTCCCTAAGTTAGCGAACGTGGGACTTTCATCCAATAATAAAAATATGAAATAAGGGAATATAAATGATGTTCAAGAAGGCAGTAAAAAAAAATGAAAAACAAAAAAAAATTGAGTTATTGATCACTTAATGGTTAGAAAAATTTATTTTTATTTTTTAAATTTAAGATACAAATACTATTTTGACGAAACGATCATATTATTAATAATAAGAGTATTTTTAAAAAAATTGAGCTATTTTTTTTAAAAAAAAATATATTATTCAAATAAATAGTAAAAATATTTTTATTTAAATTTTTTTAATTTAATAAAAAAATATTGAGAATTATAAAGTGAGTGCCTAGACTTTTGAGTGTTTGGAAGATGACAAGAGAGAGGACAGGATTCACAGAAAGTGGATAGACGCGTATATAAAAGGGTCAAGTTTCAGTGGTAGACACAAACTAAGCCTTCAAACTCAACATTTCTGAAGCCCAAGGGATAGCTTTAGATCTCTTCGTCTCCATTAATGGCGTCCCTACAAGAAACTGGCCTCGACCGCTACACCGAAGATGGAACCGTCGATCTCCATGGCAATCCCGTCCTCCGCTCCAAGACCGGTCGTTGGAAAGCTTGCTCCTTCATCGTCGGTAACACTCTTCTCTCGTTCGCTCTGCAACTTCTTCTTCTATGTACTTGTTTTTTCGTCCTTAAGAGGAGGTCATAAGTGTTGACATCTGCTAATTTAGGAAATGATTATGGGTTTATAAATAAAAGAATACTCTCTCTATTAGTACGAGGTCTTTTGAGAAAGTCCAAAGCAAAGCTACTGGAGCTTATGCTCAAAGTGGACAATATCATACCATTGTGCAGAGTCGTGTTCGTCTATCATAATATCAGAGTCATGTCAATAGATTGGTAAATCTTGGTATCAGAATCATGCCCTAAACTTAGTCGTGCCAATAGATTTGTAAATCCTCAAATATCGAACAAAGGACTACAAAAGAAAAATGACTAAGACTCCAAAGGAGTCGAGCCTCGATTAAGGGGAGGTGTTGGATGATGAAAGTCCCACGTCAGCTAATTTAGAGAATGCTCAAAGTGAGCAATATCATACCATTGTGGAGAGTCGTGATCGATTTTTCGACTTGAATGGGGATTGACTTTTTTGTTGTGGATTAATGACAGTATATGAAGTGTTTGAACGGATGGCGTATCACGGGATATCGACGAATCTAATATTATACTTGACAAAGAAGCTGCATCAAGGCACCGTAGCATCGGCTAATAATGTCACCAATTGGTCTGGAACTGTTTGGATAATGCCCATCTTGGGAGCTTACATTGCAGACGCTCATCTCGGTCGGTATCGGACCTTTATGATTGCCTCGACCATATGTCTAATGGTACATCTTACATTTTAGTCATTTTTATCTTTGTTCAATGTATCTCGTTTTTCATTTGAAAAACGAGAGAAAAGATTACTGAAAGAGACATAACTATATTAATAAAATATAATATTTTATTAAAACGTTTATAAATAAAAAATTAGGATATGCTGAGTCATTATTTATTTATTTTATGGCTTCGAGAAAGAGTGTCGGTAGGAAAGGGACAAAGAAAACGTGCCTCTAGGAGAGGGACAAAATGGTCTAAAAATATTATATTCTTAATTTTTTTTAAAATATAATGTAAAATATTTATTCCAACTTATTCCGTTACGAGGTACAACTATGCATGTCAATAAACTGCTTTAATTCTTTAATTTTTTTTATATTATTAAAACAAAATTTAGCATTATTTTAATAAAAAAATATTTTTTTTTTAACGTTTTTTAAAAGGGAAGTTTTATTTTTTTATTTTTTTGTTAAATTTTAAAAAATTTAGGATTATAGTTGAAATATAACAGTAAATATAATTTTTAATTTTTTTTTTTAACTGAAAATGTTTTTTTATTTTTAAAATTTAGCAAAACTTATAATAATTTATTTATTTACTCAATTAGTTAAGATATATAATATTATTGAATTTACAGGGAATGGGACTTCTAACGTTAGCCGTGTCAATATCGAGCCTAAAACCGCCACCATGTTTAGAAGTCAACAAAGGAAATTGCAAGCAAGCCTCGAAACTCCAGCTTGCGGTTTTCTTCGGTGCACTCTACATTCTAGCTCTCGGCACCGGCGGGACAAAGCCGAACATCTCGACGATCGGAGCCG